GAACCGAGCCGTTTGGATGGTCGGGAAAATGCAGATTATGGAGAGGATACTCAGTTGGATGATGAGAAGGGGATCCGTATTTCATCATGAGTTGCGGATAAGCAGAGGTTAAGGGAAGATGTTGTGTGGTTAATGAGCAAAATTGATGCTAATGTTTTTGTGGATCTTGGATTGTGGAGGGCAAGGGCTGAAGATGGGTTGAATGCAGTGAAACTTTTGTTGGGGAGATCGTAGAAATTGATTTTGATCACATCTTTCACCCATATGCATACCTGCGTAATTCTGCTAGGTGGTATTCACTAGCAGACTATTGTGTGGCAAAGTCATCCTTGATAAGATGCCTTCAGTGGATAGGTCGTCAGGTTCGGAAACCATTGCAGTTTATGCCGGTAATAATAAAATCGTGTTATCCCACAATGAAAAAACGTTTGCTTATAGTGGCCAATAATTTGCATATGTCATTGTAGTATGCCTACGCCGGACCCGGAACCGGACATTTTCGGACATGGAACCGGACCCGTGTCCGGTAGTTTTCGGACGTCTGGAATTTCGGACATTTTCGGACCTCCGAACATGGGGGATCCGGACGGTCCGGATGTCTGGACAAGTCCGGAAATGTCCGCACCATTAAAAAAAAAAAAAAAAACTGAAAAAAAAGTATGTTATGCAGAATTACAATGCAAACCACTTTTGCCTCAAAGTCATGTCAGAATTCCTAACCAAACTTGAGTTAAAACTTAAAAATCAAAAACTATAAAAAACTTAAAAAAAAGACTTAAAAACTAATAAAAGGAAATGGATTATTAATAATTAAAAAATTGGGGTTGTCTAATAAATAATTATAGAGAGTGAGCATGTCCGGACCCCCAAAAAAAGCATAAATGGGTCTGAAAAACCCCCAAAACAATTTTGGGGACTTGGCTCCTGAATGGGGAAGGGTCTTGGACAATTTATTTATTTATTTTATTTTTTTTTGGAAATTCGGTAGATCCGGACCTTCCTGACCGGACGTCTGGAGTCCGGACTGAATCCAGACCGGTTGGACGGAGGACCGGACGTCCGGATCATAGCCATGCATTGTAGTGTATGGCAGTTGAACTTCGTGACTTCAAGGATTATGTCTCCAGTGGTATCAGCGGATTTGCTTGCAACCCATGAGTTTAAACTTCGGCATCGTTTGTTCGTTGTACTGTTTAGGTTGCGTGATGAGTTCACCCATACAGTCTTTGGTAGCGTGTCTATCAGTAAGACCCGCATGCTCGATATCTTGCTGGCGCAAAAAAAATGGAAGTACAAAATGAAAAGATTTTTGGGACACCCATCTGGAACTGCTCATTTTTAGGTCGGCTGGGTGGGAGGATGTGCAAGTTTCTCCGATTGTGTTGTTAATGTGTTTGTTGCCATGGAATTTGGCCTGTGAAGGTGGGAGGAAGGATGTTGAGGATGGGGGTGACGCCGATATGGTATCGAGTGGTGGAAAATTATGTTATGTCGTTGGAACGAGTTGGAAGAAGGGACTCTGCTGATTTAAGATTGTTAGCGGTAACTCGATTGTTATTGTGTGCTAGCAATCACTAATAATGAATCATCGAAATTAAGAAGATTGCGGGTTTGGATTTTAAATCATCTAAGAGAGAGATTCAAGCACTTATCGAAGTCGAATGAGTGGTAGTGTTATAAGGATAGTTGTGGACAGCGAGATATTCGATGTTAAGTGTTGTACTTGGTGCATATCGATTTGTGTAGAGAAGTGTTTGTTTGCATGTTGTATGTTTGTAATGTGTATTTTCAGTCTGTGTAATGGGCGATAATTGTTTGTGAACTGATGTTGTGTCCACATATTTTTGTTTGTTTCTTATGTGCACAATGGTGGTTTTCGTAACAATGAGTGTTGTGTTGAGTGGAGGGATGGTTTGTGTTACTGATGGGGATTGTAGTTTTGTGAGGAGTGAATGCGTGGGGAGTTTGACTTAGCAATCAAGATGGAAGAGATCGATGGTGGTGCAGGGCCATCATGTTGTGATGATGTTGAGGTGCAGTCGGATGTAGGAATGAATTTAGTGTCTGAGCATCTCATGTTGAACCGGAGGTCCAGTAAGCATGTGAATATTCTGAAGATTGGGACGAGTTCAGTTATGTCACTGAGGCAAAGAATCACGGGAGTGAACAACATTAGGATGGGTGTGATCCTACCGTGGAATATGGTGTTTTAGGTAAGGTTCCACATGATTATGACATGAAGAGGATACATGGTAGGTTCTTTAGTGATAAAGACGGCCTTCGTTGAAGCAAGGATGAGTTGCCTGGTTTGTTGCGAAAAAAACTGGTGGAAATTGATGCTTTGAAGGGTGCGTTATACGGATTTGAATGCAGGTCGACAACGATTTATTTGATGAACGACAAGTTGACCTGGCTGGCCTTGATAATGTTTAATGCGAGCGAGTTGCAACAAAGCGAAAGAACGTTGTGACATTGGTTGAAGAAGAGCGAAAGAACGTTCTGTCCCAGATATGGTCAAATGATGAAAATGCATTGATCCATGAGATTGTTAAATATAGTGGTCGGGCAAATCCGCACCTAAAGCATCTTTTCCTCGTGATCATTTTCGCTTGCCCTCACGTAACATCGTGATGACGCTGCCCAAAAGTTTTGTAATTGGTATGGAATGAGCGATGGAAACTAGGTTTGGAACTTGTACATATGAATACCATGTTGGTGGTGCCAAATGCGCCGAAATATTATGTTAGCAACAATTAATTGTCAACAACTGTGAGTCTTGGACAATTGTATGGGGAGTCGCGCAAACAATTGATGGATGTTGTGTTTAGTGAACCATAAGGCGACGAAATTGGGCATGAGGCTGAAGTTGTGTGGGAACAATGTCAAAATGAAGAAATGCATTCACCGAGGAAGGTGGTAGGAAACATGATGCTTGCACCCGAACGAATTTGGCACCTTGGCCTGGATTCCAGACGCTTTGATCCGGGTTTTTTATTATAGCAGAGATAGGTGCTTCCATTGTAATATTGGTTTTTCCAAGACTAAGAATGCAAGATTCTTTGTTCGACATAGCCAAATTCAAGAAGAATATTTTATATGGAAGGCTGCAAGAAATATCACCTTCGGTACCTTCTGAAAATGGACAAAAAAGAAAGAAAAATCAGAATGCGTGACTTCGTTCTATTTGGCATTTTACTATTCAGTGTGCTAAGTTCAAAACAAATAGCACGTATAACCATGGATTCCATAGAAACTCTTGAAAATCAATCATCAAACACATAGATGGGCGTCCCGCCGTGTTTGCATGATTGACGTCGTGTGAATGATCAATCAAATTTGTGTTCTCCTAAGTGACCACAATTAACATAACCACAGTCAGAGTACCAAACAGAAAACCTTAAGAAGCATCAAACATTTATATGCTATGCTTTTAGCTATTTTATTGATTTTGTTTCAAACGGGAAATACCGATTTACAAATCTAGCTTCCTTCCGAACCGTGCATGCAAGATAGAAAGTTGTGACAAAAGTAGGAGAACCAAGTGGTTTCGTCCCGTCCAAGTTTGGCCATCAAACTTTGCACATGACGTTCTCCACCTTGGCAAAGGCTCGAAGAGCAGACGCTTCGCTTTCGTACCTTCTGCTTTTACCACGCGATATTTGGGTAGGCGCGAAGCACAATTCCGAGTATGTGTCTGAATCCCACGGGCTCGTCAGCAACAAGGTCGAGATGACTTTATGGAGGAGACAAACATATGAAGAAAAGGTGAAACGCTATTGCTAGCATACATAAAGAACATAAATGCGTTAGCGCAAGCACTGTTATGGCGATGGGGAGCGTGCAAAATGGACACAGGAGAGAAAGGGGGGAATCGATGAAACATAGCTGCAGACAACAGATTGAAATGGTATTTTGACAAGTTGTCTGGGATTTGTTTTACGTAGATTATGAATTGAGAAAAGGAGAGGACTTGGTGGGTTTCAAAGCTAAATGGTTAAGATGGAACTGGGGGGTCAAAGAAATCGTGGGGTTTTGGAGTGATAGTTTTATGAACTCTTTGTGCATTCAATAAGACAAATGATTTGTGATATGTTGTTTTTTATTTAAACATTGCGTGATCCTTTTTCTTTTTTTTTTAGTTGGGTGGGTGTTTGGAGGTTGTGATTTCGTTTGTGATTTTTTTTTTTTTAATAAATCAAATTAATTTTTTTTTTTTTTTTTTTTTTTATTTTTAAAATTTTTTTTTTTTTTTTTTTTTTTTTTAGTTGGGTGGGTGTTTGGAGGTTGCGATTTCTTTTGTGATTGATTGTTTTTCAGTGCATTAAATTAAAATGAAAAATGAGTATGTTTGATGTGATGGAGTTGTGGTGAATGTATCTTTTAACTAAAGGTGATGACGTTTGACTGTGTTGTATATTATTGTCATTGAGTGTGTTATACTTTGAATGGGTGCTTTGATCGCAGTTGGTCAAATTTGTCATGTTCGGATATAACTTTGGAGAAAGTAGTCGATGGGGATTGTTCTTCTGTGAGGAGTGAATCTTTAGGGACCTTAATTTAATCGTGAACATGGAAGACTTGCATTGTGTTGTAGGGTCATCACATTATGCTGACCTGGAGGCAGAGTCGGGTCTATAAAACCATTCGTAGCCTGTGTATGACCATATAATGTTGGACCAGAAAACCGTTGAATATTTTGACAATTGTAAGGTGTTTAGTCATCCGATAATGAGGGCCTTCATTGGAGTCAGGGTGTGTTGTTGAGACTGTTGTGGAAGATAGTGGTGGAAATTGATGAAGAGTGCATTATATAAAGTTTACGGGAAATTGGCAAAAGTCAGCAACGATTTATTTGATGAACGTGAATTAGACCTGTTGGACTTTTTGAATGTGTCATGTGAGTGGGTTCAAGCGGAGGGAAATAACGTTGTTTTGCGGGTGGAAAGAGAGACTAAACGATGTTGCACGACTTTTCTCAGTGAGAATGGATGTTCTTGTAGTCGAGACGCATTGGTAGATGATATTGTTAAGTACAACATCCGGGTAGATCCGCACCTGAAGGAAGAGTCTGATGATGTGCGTGACCACTTGGCATTCAGTGAAACTTGGTTGAGGAGACTTCTCATGTATGTCGTGGGCTTTCAATTGGTGACACATCTTCTACCGGTCGTCTTTCACTTAACCTCAGAGGAAATTATCATGTCGCTTTCTGGAAGTTTTGTAATTGGTATGGTACAAAGGATGGAAACTATTGCTTACCAACTTATACGTAGGAATACGATATTGGAAGTGCAAAAGGCGAAGCCGATTGAAGGCACCAACTCTTAATCTAGGACTATTTTATCAACTTTTATCAAGTTTTATGCGTATCGAACGAACTGTTGAAGGATGATGTTTTAAACTGCTAGTACAAGGCCTCAGCCTTGCAGAAAGTTTTTGTCGTCACAAGCAAAACTCGGAGGCGCCACGCGGCCAGGATCGCCATTGAAAAAACAAATCGCCCACTGTTGAAAAAAAAAATCGGCGGCCTCCGAAGTGGTGCGGGTTTCATGCTGACACCCGCAGGCTGATATGTGGTGTACTTGTGCTTTACATAATTTTTCAGTGACTGACTTGATCATGAGGATCAATTTATGTTGAGTCAATGCCATATCGAACATATTTATTGGATGAGGAAGGTTGTTGGAAACATGATGGTGGCAACAATGGTGGATGACTGTATACAGCAGAGGCTCATAGAAATGGTATACGCATTAGCGCTGTCATTGATGTCGCTATGTGGTGAGTGCGATCGTGAACGGGGATGGTCATATCTGGTAGTGGTTGATCTCTGTGTTGTTCACCCTTCGTCTTCGACAGATACTAATGTATATTCTGAGGATGGTAGTACATTGTTGATGAAGTTGAATTTTTAAGATGGAAGAGAGGCGTGGGGATCTACGACGAATAGTTGCAGACAATTTATTCAAACGGTATTTGGCTAACTGGTTTGTGATGTAGGTTGTGAATCAACACAAGAAGAGGACTATGAGTTTGTTAAACCGCTAGTACATGGCCCCAACCTTGCTGAAAAAGAAACTTGTCACCTACGAAAATTTCATAGGTTCGGCCTACCGGACCACAATAACTGGCAGCGCCAAACAAAAAAAGAAAGTGCGTTGTTGGTGGTTAGGAAATGCTTGGCGCGAAGTAAGACGCCTGCAGCCCGGGTGTGCTGGTAGTGTAAGGTCGTATGGGGAAGATGTATAAGCAATCGATAGAATATTGCAACATAGTATGGGCCTTTTGAGTGACAGTTTTGTGAGGATGTTTGGGCTGGTGTACACGATGTAGATCTGTGATGTGTTGTGTTTTTTCAGATGTTTTGTGGGTTTTTGTTCATCTTTTTAAGTGTGTTTGTGTTGTGGATTGATTGTTGTTTAGTATGTTGGTTTGAAATTGAAGGGGTATGTTCGTGTGATGGAGTTTTGTTGCATGTATGTGTTGAAGTAATGTGATATCATGTGATTGTTGTGTATTGTTGTCGTTGTTTGTGTTATTGTTGTGCCAATGCTTTTCATACAGTTGGTCAATTTTGGTGCTTTCGGATGCAAGTTTGGGGGAGAGTGTCCGTGGTTGGTGACTACAATATTTGGTGATAGATTGTTTATGATGTTGTATTTGTAGGTAATTCGGGTATTGGTGGCGAGGATATGGAGAATGTGGATATTTCCAAGTTCAAGGAAATGGGGAGTTGTTTGTAGGTGATTGCCATGTGCGTGATTTTTGTTTTATAAAGGGAGGAGTTTTTGTGTCCTTGACGACGTCTTGGTCATTAAGTGGGCGAATATGTTAACAGTAGAGATTAAAAATATTTGGGATTCAACTTTGTTTGCACCGATACCTATTGAGATGGGGAGCTATGGAAGGCCCCGTGTTCTGAGATTTATGCTTAAGGTGGGAGGTCAAGTTCATCTGGAGTTTGGAGTCTCGGTGGTGGATGGGTTTAGGGGAAAAACCCTTTATTATGTGCGTGAGTTTTTAATTCAAAGAAGGTGTGTGGGATGCAGGTATGCAGTCGGTACGGTGTTGAGTAATTGCTTGAGTTGTTGTTGCAATGGTTGTCATGTTTCCAGCATGGCGTTGTTGAATTCTGCTACATGGAAATACAATCCTCATTGCGGCAATTGGGGTAATGTGAGGGGGACACATATTTATACTGAATTTGGCAATGGTGAGGAAAATGTTGGTGGATATGTCAATGGCATATTGCCTTCAGGTGATAAGTACAACCTTACATAATTAGTGTCTCTCTAGAGAGATCTTGAATATATGCTTAAGATTATATGTAACCTATGTGATTTGACGTATGGAAAAAAAATGATATTTTTCCCCCAGCTCGTTTGTCAATGATGGTGCCTATAAGATTTTATGCGGGATATAGTTGTATAGATCCCACAACAAATTTCAAATAAAAAAAAGAAGCTATTTCAAATATTGTAAAAGATTCGGATCAAATACAACCTTTTTCTTTAGATAAACCATTAGAAGAGTTATATGTATATCAATTTTCTTGCTCCATTATTGTTAGCTACACTAAGAAAAGATTGAGTTTGGAACTTTGGATCATTTTTTTCACCAATAAAAAGTGAAATGCTACAAAATAATATCATTTGAAGACAAATCAAGGAAAATGAACAACAACGAGATGACAATATCCAAAATGCACAATCACATTGAAAGCGAGATAGTATCTCAGTGTCCAGAAAGCAGCATTGCACCGATGTAACACCAATGGAGATTCGTAACACTGAAAACCTATGTCAATGCTTACGCCACCACCAACATAAGAGTCCAGTCCCTCCTCCCTACTTGGCGCTCGGTGCCTAGCCTATTTCCTACACAACTACTGTCTACCTACTAATTGACAACGCAACTTTTGACGTCAGCGGCCAACGAAGTACTTGAAGATGTCGCTCGATGCAGACCATCGCCAACACCAGGTATGTGCCCTCACATCATCATCATCATGATCCTTCTCTCTCTCCCTTGACTTACACCCACGTCTTCCCTTTGTACACTCGAAGACCACCCCTGCGCCTCATTGTAGTCCAAGCCCATCCAACTATGGAGGCTGGGCTATGGTGCTGCCCTGAGCAACTCCCTGCTTCTTGCACGATCGCACGCGCGCAGCACCTTGCCCTTAGCGCTCAGCAGCCCGCGAGCAATCACTCCAGCGGCATTGCCGCATCACTTCGGAAGTGCCTGAATGAGAGCCCAGGCAGCGAGCTCTTTCCTATATGGAAAGAGCCTTCCTGCCCCGGTGGCCTGAATGGCTTGGGCCTCTCCCGAGAAGCTTTCGGTAGGCCCCAGGAGGCTGTGCCTCAATTGCAGCTGTTGGGCCACCTTCGGTTGGGCCTCCTAACTGTCTGTGTATGAGGCCGCGATTCTTGCCCAGGGCCTGCATTTCCCAAAAGGCCTTGAAGGTCGTGGAATATCTTTGCTGCTCGGCCTGTGTTTCCCTCAACCAACTAGCGCGTTAACTGCCTGAACCCCAAATCCAAAATTGACAGCAAGGGGACTCTCGCAATTTGTTAGGCTCGCCTTCACTTAGGGCGGGCACTTCTGTAACAAGGGCCCCTTAGGCCTGTCGAGGATCCAGTCCCTCGCATTCCGTCCTTTACTTGGATAGTCCTCTGAGAAGTCTGCTAATCTGCAGGCATCTTCCCCTCGAGTTCTTTTTCATAGCCTGCAATAACTTGAGGAGCTGTTCGTAGGAGTTCTTCTTTGGTGAACCTCCGATATTCGTTGGGATCTAGATGATGTTTGAATCTGACACGATATTGCATTCTCGGCTTAGGAGGGCGGCCTTTGCCCAACGGTTTAGGCACGGGCATCATTCGATGCTCCACTATTCTGTCGGTGTCAACTTGACCATTCATGGTTGGGGGCAGCATTGACACGTCTGGAGGGAACTGTGCAGTCTCTGCGAAAGATGCTAGCTTTGAGGAGTGAAAAACTAGATGTGTGCGGAGATGAGGTGGGATGTGTATCACGTAGGAAGGTCCGTCCATCTGATCTTCGACTATGTCTAGGATCTCCCAGGGACCGAAATACTGTGGCTTTAGTTTTCGAGAGATTCCCATTTCCGGTCCCAGTTCAGATGACTTTATCCAGGCTCTGTCCCTTTCCTGAAAGTTAGAAGGCCGAATGTTGTTTGTTCTCAGATGCAATCATAGCATCTTGAGATTTCCTAATGTGCTCAACGGCCTGCTGCAGCATCTGTTCATATTTGACAAAAAAATTTATGTGGCTAGGTGTTGCAGTTGACTGGTTCTCATGCCAATAGTGTTGCGATGTTGTACAGGCTGGCGACGAGAGGTACTTTCTCGTCCCAATCATCCAGGCCTGGCTTGATGTAATGCCTAAGCAGGTGCTACACTACTCGGTGGATTTGTTCCGCCTGTCCATTTGACTCAGTGTGATTCCCTAATGTCATTTGCAGTCTGGTACCCATATGTTGGGCAGTGTTTTGCCGCAGTTCGCTAGTAAAGCGAACATCCCTATCACAGGCGATGGACTTGCGCAAACCAAAGTCCCGCACCCAGTTATCCATAAACAGCTTGATGACATGCTCATTTTTTTGTTGTTTCTGGCATAGCAATTAGTCTTGCATACTTGGAAAATTGGTCAACTACAACGGAGATGTGTCGTTTTTCGTTCTTGCTGGTCACCAAGGTATCCATGAAATCCATGGACACACTTTGACCTGGACCTTTAGGAATCGGCAAGGGCTTGATGAGCCCGAGCGGAGCCCGATTCCTAGGTTTGTCTCGTTGGCAAACCTGGCAAGTTTCAACGTACTTCTTTGCATCTTGCATCATAGAAGGCCAGCAAAATCTTTGTACTTGTTAGCTGATGTTTTCCTAAAGCCAAAATGGCTAGTTGCGTCATGACATTCTCCTAGAAACAAAGTACGCAAAGACTCTATCTGGGACACATAACCTTTTCTTCCTTGTCTTTTCAAGAAACAGCAAGCCGTCTACCATCGTAAGTTTATCAAAAGTTACTTTATCTTTCTCTTGAAATCTACAAAT